CTAAGCACTGTCCGGCACTTGGCCGGAAAGATCACATGATTTTGCACTGTCCCTATGCACTGTCCGTAGACTTCCCGATATCTAATATGACTTGCGTTTTGATTGGTCGGTTAAATCACGTGAACATGAATTTTTCTATTTTTAACCAATAGAATTTACACGAATATACAGGATTTCTGTTCTCGTGCATTTCTATCAGGTATCAATATATAAATTGTTACCGAAAATAGAAATTACCTGACAGAGCCAATTTAATCAATAGAACTACAACAGCAAGTAAATGAGCAATTCTAAGGAGAACGGGTAGGTAGACCAAGCAACTAAAGCTTGAATGACAACAGAAAAAAAAGCCCATAATTAGTGGAATGGGGCGGGAAAATCCCCAATGGACACCACAAAGAGAAGTTACATATGAATACTCTTAAAAATTTTAGGTTTTAACTATAGAAATCCCCGTATCGTCGTTATATCGAATAGTTGTTTCTTATTATAGACTGAATTTACTATTTATTAATTTAATAATAATAATTCACTACAAAAAAATGATGACAGTATGAAACATATATGTAAGAAAGAAGCAATATTTTTGGATACTCCGATTACTCTATGATTTTCGATTTTTTGTCCCTGAATTTCTTTGTGGCGTCATGTTCACTTTATCTGTCGAGCATCATAGTTCCACGAATTTCCGACTCCCATGCGCCTAATAAAACCAGGAAACAACAAACAATACTGATACAACAAACACTTTTTTTTGAAAAGTTAAATTTTATGCGTGCTGCCACTGTACTGCACCTTCACTGCCTGCCTTTTGAGAACCTGTTTCGCATTCTGCTCATCGGCTGTGTGTCAACTACGTCGCCCACATCTCTTGCCACATATACATACAAACAAACATTCTTCCCTCGGGTTGCTTTTTTTGAATTTTTTTTCGTGTTTCGAGGACCTTTTTTCCCTTTGGCCTCCTAATTTTAGGAATAAAAAAACAATATAAAAATTGCCTTTTTGTTTATGTGTTTATATGGTTTAATAATATTATTTTTGTAATAATAAACAATAAAACAAGAGAAAAATAAAAGTTGAAGTAATATCAAATAGAAATAAAAAATAATTCCACAATGACTACGGCCTCAGCGCCTGCAGCTTCCATTGAACCTGGCGATCCATTTATTCGACACACAAAGAATAAGATCGCCTCGTTATCAAATAAAAACAAAGAGGTAACTTGTTAAACGAAAATTGCTTCCTTTAAGCTATCAATTATCTGATATTTTAATTCGGTCTGCAATTTTCAAAAGTTTATTATTATTGTATAAAATGTGAGTTTAATCAAACTAACCAAATTTTATGTTCTCCTATGTTGATACTAAAAATAAATTTACACTCTCGGGACCCAATATGTAGATGCTTGACGATTTGAGTAAATTATCGCAAAATACATCACAAGCATTAACCGCTATAAATATGATACCACCACATCTAAATAATTCCGAGAAAGATATTGATAAGTTGTTCGACGGATTAAAATTTAAATCACGAAGAAATAGTTTCCAGCAATCATCATCTATTCCGCGAATTGATTTATCATCGAATAATAGCTCACTATATGTCTTAGGAGTTGATGATGAATTAAGGAATGGAACAGAAACAATTTTAGAAGAGGAGGAAGAACAAGAAACAATATCAACAGGAAGAAATTCTTTAAAACCCGATACAATTCGGTATAAAGGATCAAAATCGGACTTTAATTACAATTCGGGTGAATTAGATTGGAAATATCTATCAGCAGAAACTAATCATTCAGATTCAGAGAATGCTAATAACGAGAATTTGAATAATGACGACAATAATATTGGGGTTAATAATGTTGAAGAAAGAGATTCAATTGGCCGATTTTGCAATAGTAAAGTTCATCCTCATTTAACAATAAATACAAAACCAGTCCAAGAAGCAAATCGACGATTAATTACTCCAGAATCATCTGATTCCGAATTTGACCTATCGAGCGCACACATTGCATTATCACCGGAAATATTTCATAATAAAAATTCTGGACGTATTCGACCGAGGTCAATGTCTGAATCTAGAGCTACAGTAGGCAACATTCGACGAGATCGTTCATCAACTATGGCATTTTCTTCACTTGATGAGGTTGATGAAGAAGACAACTCTGCATTATCACCAGAAATTTTGGATTCATCTTCGAAGACTCTTAATCGATATAATGAGAATGAAAAACGTCCGTTGATCAAACCTTTAGTATTAACAAATGGACGAAATCGAAACTCTGCACAAAGATTTCTGGATGATTATAATTTAGGCGAAAATTATAGATCAAATAAATTTCATCGTCGAGCAATCGATGATTCATTATGTCCATCTGGAGATATTGCTGATGATAATAGCAGCATTCGTTCCGAAAATTCTTTACTTGAAGAATTGGGTGCATTAAAGAACAGAGTAAAGAAATTAGAAGCAGAACATGCAGAACAACGCGCAAGTGTGATTATAGATGATGGTATGTAATTTGTGTGATGCTAATATTCTTATAGTTATATAGATTAAATTTTTATCTTTGGAAATTTAGGTGATCGACGTAGAGATCGGCAATCAAATACGGAAATGCTTGTATCACCTGGTGTGAGTTCACAAGGTGTCCCAAGTCCAACAACTACTAATTCATCAAGAAATTCTTTTATTCCTTCAGTACAACACCAAAAACATCTTCAAAATGCTTTTGACTTTTTCGAAAAATCTTTCAACACAATACCAAATCAACCAAATGACGATGATTCATCACCTTCGCCTTCTCATTCAATGGCAATGGTTGTATCAGCTGCACAACAACTAAATCATAAGTTACGTAGTCTTTCATCGCAAAACGAAATGAATAATGGACAATTCACTGAAAGAACAATAAAAGAATTATTAAAAACTAGTGATGAACAAATTCGTAGTTTAACGGAATGTTTATTAGCATTGCCAACATTAATACCGAAACCATCACCACATCCGTCTTCACATCCATTCTCATCAACAACACAAACGAGAAAACCTGTATATGAACATAATCAGTACAGTTCACTGCATAAACAAAATCTGAATGATACTGTATCTCATCTCGGAATACAAACAAATAATAACGTGCGAAATGGAAGATCAATTTCCCCTAATAATAATCAAAGATCTGGACAATTAACCCATGATTCAAATATAAATATGGAACATTCAATACAAAGAACTTCAAATGATCAATCATCACCACCAAATTCTTATTACGGTATTGCACACAATTCACGTCAAACTAATAAAAATTCACAGCCGCCATCCCCAAGATTAGGACCAGATTCTTTGCAAATATCAGCTACCTCGCGAACACAAGATTACCGAGAAAGACGACGACGTTTTTCTGGTGGATCTCATGGTTCACATGGATCTTTTTCTGGTACGCTTCCATCATCTTCACCTTCGCCGCCACCACAAGCAACTCCATCTTCTCAAATCTCACATCACAATGATCAACAACATCAAGCACCTTCAAATTCAAAATCTTTTATTGATCGAGAGCGAAGATTCGCTCATCGTTACAGTCTTTCTTCATCAAGTACTGCGAGTAATGGCTATAACAATCATAGTAACAGTAATAGTACCGTTTCTTCTCCAACCACCACCACTATTCCAACTAGGATAGGGACAAGGTTTTCTTCTTCTACAATAGCTCGTAATAATGAAGATTCATCCTCTCACCCGCTTCCACGTCCATATACAACACGTACTTTCTCTGAGGATTCTCATAGTGGAATATCCGGGAGAACACAGACACAAATACGAAATTATGATCATACTCGTCGATACCAATTTGATGGAGCTCATGGTCCATCAGAGAGAAGTTTTGAGAGAAGAACGCTTAATCATAGTAATAATAGTAATAGCAGTGGAGTTGAAAATGATTATAGCCATTCACATTTTGAAACATCTGCTAGCCAAGATCTCAAACGAACCGCTTCACATAGCAAGCGAAGGGACACATCACCGGAGAATGAAGCAAAATTTGAAGCTGAGAATGGTGGTGAGGATGTGGTAGTAGAAAATGGTATTACTACAAATACAGCCGAAAATAATAATAATGGTTATTCATAGTGAACAAGCTCCCTATTATTTTTTGGGTTTCTTTTCCATTTCGTTATTTTATGTTTTTGGCAAGCTGGCCTTGACATATAATGCTTTTTAGTATATAAATTAGTTTATCAGTATTAATGACGATGTTATTATTTCTTTGTAGATAATTTTTTCTTTTTCCTTTTTTTTGTTTACAGATATTTTGAAATCATTGAGGTTTTTTGCAGTAAATACATGTCTCAAAAGTTTTCATATATTAATTAATTTGGATATTAGTTTATTACTCCCATATCATAACATATATTAGATTTCTACCCTGCAATTACTATTATTATTATTATCTTTATTTAAAATATTTCTATCATCATTTCAAAAAACTTTTATCACATCATTTATTAGATATTGACGAAAGACGCCAAAAACAAACCTTTTTTGCATTTTTAGATTAGTATAACGAGCTTGTTATTTGTCAGACAAATTAGCGGTATACTTTGTAGTCGATCATTTTTTACAGACTAGCTGTATTACTTCAAAAAGAAAATATTATCTATACCTCAAATATCTCCATGAATTCTTACTGATGCATTAATTTCGATATATTACTTTCTAAATGATAAATTATCTATACCTAATGATCTATCCGATAGTTTCTAATCCCGTCCATTGTCTCAAAACTTTAGGAATTATCACTTTGCCATCACTCGTTTGAAAATTCTCCATGATTGCAATAATAATACGTGGAACTGCAACAGCCGTCCCATTTAACGTATACACAAATTCAGTTGATGTAGCTGTTGTGGATGCAATTGAATTTGGCCGATACCGGATATTTAGCCTGCGAGATTGATAGTCGGTACAATTTGATGCAGATGATATCTAGAGAATAATATTACCAAGTTTTAATGATAAATCAGTCTTTAAATAAAAAAATGAATTTAGTGTATATTACTTCGCCCCAACTATCGCGTCCTGGCATCCATGCTTCGATATCGTGTTTCCGAAAAGCATTGGATCCTAATTCCTCAGTTGGCATATCTAGTAGTCTAATAAAAATATTAATTTTCATTATTCTAGTTGAAAAGCATTTCTTTTAATATTAAAAACCTGAAACACAATCCCAAATCATTGAAAATCTCCTCTTGCAAAGCAATAATCTCATCAAACACTATTTCACTATCTTCCGGCCGAGTCAATGCAAACAATTCTACTTTACTAAACTGATGCACTCGATATATTCCTCTGGTATCAGCACCACGGGCACCAGATTCCGCACGAAATGCTCTTCCAAATCCAACCATCTTGATCGGTAACTGTGACTCGAGTAAAATTTTTCCGGCGTAAATACCTGCGAGTGGTATTTCAGCTGTTGCAGAAAGTGTCAATCCTTGAGGTGAAGAAAAATTAGAAGCAGAGTTCGAAGTTGATGTACTTAAAAAATAGTTTTGAGCGTTTTCTCGAGACCGCGGATTAAATCCACATGCATGACTAAACTCTGTTCTAATTGCGTCTGGTGTGATAATTGGAGTGAATCCTTTATAAATCGCCTTTTGCATCGCGTATTGAATCAATGCTAATTCAAGTAATGCACCAGCATTACGAAGATAATACCAACTGGTCCCAGTAACATTCGCTGCTGATTCTAAATCTATAAGGTCATGTTTTCCTGCAATTGTCATATGATCTTCAATTGGGAAGTTTACAGATTCGCGCATCAATTGTTTACCGATCTGCTTTAGAACTCGAGCCTTTGATTCATCTCCAATAGGCACATCCGGATGAGTATCATTTGGAATATGAATTGCCTCCTGAAGAAGCGATTGTTCTATTTCAACAAGTCTTGATTCTTTTTGATGTATTAATTCTTTTAGCTTTCGACCTTGATTTTGTAGTGAGGTAAGTTCTTCGGATAATTTTGAAGAAAAGGATGAGGAAGATGAAAGATTTTTGTTTGATTTTGCTATCTCGTTACGTTTACTCCTTAATGAATTTATTTCGGTAGTGATATCACAGAATTCATTGTAAAGTTGTGCCACTCTATGAACATCGACATTTTTTACATTACGATTCCGTATGTTTTCTGCTATTGAAGTGACATTATCTCGAAATTTTTTGTAATTGAGATGAGGACAAAGAAATTTGAAAGATTGTGATGTTGCTGGCGACAAAGAAGATAATCGTTTAGATGAACTAGAAAAATGAGCTTTAAAAATTTTTCATATTATAAAAAGAAATATTTCTATTAGTGAATTTAAACTCCAAATCAAAAAGATCTCATTACCTACAGTCAAAACTCGATATAACGATAGGATAATGAGAAAAAATCCTGTAAATATCGTTATATCGAGAATTTATTATAAAAATCGTTATATCGAGGAAATTCAAATGTTTTTTGGGTTGTCATCGTTATATCGAGATTTTAATTAGTCATTGTCATAACAAATATCGTTATATCGAGTTTTGACTGTATGCAACTTTTATTAACAAAATTTATTTATGATGCATTACAATAACAATTATCACTATTAGTTTTTAATAATAAACATTCACTAAATGCTTTTCTTGATTTAACAAAACGAATCATCGTCAAGTTAATACAAAATAAAATACACGACACTCATCAGTTAGTTAAAATAGCGATGATCCGGCCAATCAAAATGCGTAATGCTTTTCATTTTCAAAGTATATATCGATATCGATATGGTGCCGGACATCTTAACCCGCCAGTCACGTGATATTGTTTCAATTTCCTGTATGTAATGTGACATAACATTATATAATGCAACCAATAATATTGCATGTAATATGATGTCATATTTATTTTTATCCACTTATTATTTATTATAAAGCATAATATATGTTATTTTTTAGAGAATTATTATATTTCACTAATCATTATATTATCAAACTTTATTCATTTATCAAATTAAAAAAAATTAAAAAATTAATTATTAAGATTTGATTAGGATTCAGAAAAAAATTTAGTTCAGTTTAGATTTAAATTTAATCAAAAATCTGGTTTGAAAATTTGAATCCAATCAAAAATCTGGTTCGAGTTCAAGTAAATATTTAATGATATTTTAAGTAAACTTGTAGATTATAAATAAAACTACAAATTAAATGAATATTCAAAAAAATCATAAATTTAAAAATTTTTTAATTATTTATAATTTTAATTATATTATAATAAAAATTTATTTTTCAATAGTAATTATAAATTATAATTTTAAATAATATTGTAGTTAGAAATAGGAGCTACAAATTAATATATAATAATTACTATTAATAATAAATATTTAAAGAATTATATAAAATTTACAATAAAATTTTATAAATATAAAAATAAAAATACTTAGTTATTATTAAGTAAACTTTAAATATTATAAATTATATATATAAGCAAAGTTATAATTCATATTTAAAGCTATAAATTGATATATAATCAAACTCTTCTATAATCACCACCCTTAGGAAAGCAAAATTTGATGATTATAGAGAGATTTTTTTTACTATGTTTATATATAAATAGAAAAACAAAATAAGATAATTATAGAGAGATTGTATAATTATAAATAAATATGACTATAAAAAAATTTGATTGTATATTAATCTCAAATCAAACTTGAACTAGACTTAAATTTGTATATTAATTAATTCAGTTTGAGTTCAGTTTAAACTTCAAACTTTTTTGAATTCAAGTCAAAGTTTTAGTTCAAGTTCAGTTTAAATTTTGAATTATACTTGAATCTGAACAAAAATTTAGTTTGATTTAATTTATAGAAATATTAGTATAATATTATCAAGTTATAGAATTTTTGTTTAAGAAATAATCAAATTGCTTAACTTTTAAAAAATTGAGCAATTTGATTAATTCTTGAATAAAAATTTTGTAACTTGATAATGTTATATATTTTATTCTTAATTATTATATATATAAATATTTATATAATTTTTTATTTTTTTTATCTTTATTTTTATATTTTTCTTATTTATTTATTTTTATTTATTTTAATAAATATATTTTAATTAATTATAAATTTTTGTAATATATATATATTTATTTTTTATATTTAGTAAATTAGAATTCTATTCTTAATTAACATATTTATTTTTTATATTTTTTTCTTGTTTTTGAAATATTATTTTAGTATTTATAAAAAAATATATAAATACAAGTTATAATTAAGCTTTAATTTAATATATCAAAACTTGAGAATAAATAATAAAATTCTTTTATTTTTTTATTATATTTCTTTTTTCAATAACAATCAAAAATAATATAATAACATTAAAATTTATTAATTAAATATAGTAAAATATAGCTTTTTTTATATAAAAGTTTTTAATTTTATTAATAAATTATTTTTTATTTTTATATTAAAATAAAGATAATATTATATATTTTAACATATATTTTTTAATTTTTTTAGATTTAATCTGATAAAGCTATTTTAATTATATATAAAGTTAATTATTTTTTTATAATTAAAATATATAAAAAATTAATTAATTTTATATGTAATTAAAACAACTTTATTAGATTAAATCTAAAAAAATGAAAAAATATATGTTAAAATATATAATATTATCTTTATTTCAATATAAAAATAAAAAATATTTATTAATAAAATTGAAAACTTTTATATAAAAAGAAAAAGCTATATTTTACTATATTTAATTAATAAATTTTAATATATTTTTGATTGTCATTTGTAATTATATATTTAAAATTTTATATATAAATAATTTTGGATTATATTAAATTAATCAAAATATTATTATTGGAATTATCATATTGATATTTTTTATTGATTAGTTTTCTGTTTTTGAAATCATATTTATTATTATATATAATATTATATTTTAATATTGAGAGTTTGAGAAAACTTTTTAGTTGTTCAGATTATAATATAAAGTCATTTAAAATAATAATAGTATAAAATATATATAGCTAAAAATAAATTTTTAAATTATTTTAAAGAAATATAATTATAATTTAAATTAGTTTTAATTATATTTTTAAACTATATTATTAGTTTTAAGATCTATTGTTACTTATAATATATAAAAATTTGCAAAAAAATAAATAAGTTTGATACAAATATAAATATTTATATTTAATAATTTAAAATAAAGTATTTTTCAAAATTCTAAATATTTTAGATTTTGAATTATCATATAAGTTTTAAAATATTTTAAATTCTAATTTAGAAATTTTTTGAAATTATTTGATATTAAATACTTTAGTTTGAATTATTATTTGTATTTTTTACTTATAAAAATTATTTGTAAAAATCTTTTTTTACAAAAATAAAGTTTTTAAAACTTGTTCAGCTTGTTTAATTATATAATTTAAAAAATAAATTACAAAATAAATTTTTAATAATTATCAATTAAAAAAAAATAGAGTTTTTTTTGAGAAAATTCTTTTAATAATATTATTAAAGATAAATTCCAAAATTAATAATATAGTTTAGAGATATAACTAAAACTAGTTTAAAGATATAATTAAAATTAATTTAAAAATAAATATTACCAATTATATTTGTTAATGTTGAGCAGAATATTATATTTTTTTAACTTTAAGCTTAATAAATTATTTAGTATTTAATATTATGATATAAAATTTATAATAAGATTAATAATAGATAAAATTAAAGAAGATGATAAATACAATTGAATATAAATAAAATAAATAAAGTATTTTCTAATTATAAAAGTTGAGAATTTATATTCTAATAATTTTTTAATATTTTTTAAGCTATCAATTTGTAATAAAAAAACTGAGAAAAATATAGGCTTTAATTTACATCTTTATATTTTTAGTATTTAATAAATAATTTTCTTTGTATTAATAATCTATTTACTTAAGTTATGCAATAAATAAAACATTATTTACTAATTATAAAATATTTTAATTAACTATTATAATCCAGTACAAAAGATTTACATCTCAAATAATTATTAATAAATTATTTTTTTAAAATAAAATTTTAATTTTGTCTTATTTAATTAAGTTATTAAATATTAGAAATAGATATATTTTAATTATATATATTTCACAAAAAAATTTTTACTAATAATAACTTTTTTGAATTCTTATTTCATAAATTTTACTATATAAAAAAAATTTGATTAAAATTAATATAAAATATATATAATAAATAATTTAATTGTTAAACTTTGAAACTTAATTTTGCAATATGTAACTACTGATTCAATTTTTATGAAATTTAAAATATATTTTTACCAAATATATAGCAATGTGCTTGTATAATTTGAAGTTCTAATATTTTTTAAAAAAAATAATTTTTTATTTTATTTTATTTTTTAGAAAAGTATTGTTTCATTTATTATTGAATAAAAGTACAAAAGAATAATAAAAATAGTTAGTTTGAGGTGCAAAAAGATTTGCACCGGACCATACTGAAGTATTAAAAATATTTATTTAATATATGTAATATAAACAAATCCGACACAAGGAAATGGTTCACTAATAACTCTATTACCGTAGAATTTTTCTGAACATACACAAATATAACGTGATCGAGAATTTTTTCGTCCCATCGAATCTAGTGGATAAATCACGTGTTTTTTATGACGATATTTTTAAAACAATTTTGTATTGTATTCTTTAAAATGTCTAATAACACAACTCCAACTTCATTATCGTTTGAAGAAGAACGTGAGTCAAATTATTAAGGGATTAATTCATTATACTCAAGTCAGATAAAATTAAACAATGTTTGTTACAGATTTAAGCGATCGAGTAGTCGAGATTAGCAGTCCCCGAGAGAAGTCACCACTTACAGATGTCAATTCACCAATTTTAAGAAGCGTGAGAAGTAGTAGTAGTGAAAGCTTAAACAGAAAACATAAACTTGATGAGGAAGAGGAAGTCTCGTTGGAAGGTAACACCAGGATGGGTGGGGAGAAGGAGACATTCTATAAAGGATCTAATGCAAAGCGGACGAGATTGGACCCGGTTTTAAGAGATAATGTAATTTTTATTTATCTTAACTTTCATTAAACCATTCGTAATATTGACAATTCAAAAGTTTTTGATATTTTTTACAGCGACAAATCGCTGAAAACTCATTAAATCCACGACGTACTCAAAAGATCACAAAGAGTAAAAGTAAAACTTCGATGTTTGACCCAGACACTACAAAGTATATTGAGGAAATTGTATTAGGTGGCTATGTTATAAAGACATGGCATTCTTCACCATATCCAGATGAATATAATCGAGCAGAAAGATTATACACCTGTGAGCACTGTATGAGGTACATGAAATCAGGCGGGGTATATGGGCGTCATATTGTAGGTATTAAGGAATAAGATTAAATTAGTTGAAATGTGTCTAAGCTGAATTAGTTTTGTTTGCTTCAAAGACTACTTGCCACGTCAGTCCACCTGGTATTCGCATCTACGAAGGAATGAAAGGAGATCAGAGAATACGAATATATGAAGTAGATGGGGCAAAGGGAACAGAACAAAAAGTAATAATTAACTGCATTTAATTTTTTAATTAAAATAAATAACTATTAATATTGAATTCATATATTTTCTCACGATAGTTGTACGGCCAAATGTTAAGCCTTCTTGGCAAAAACTGGCTCGAAACTAAAATGATTTGTTACGACGTCGAAGGCTTTTGTTTTTACGTATTGGTGGAAGTGGAAGAAGATAATGGAAAGGAGATTGAGCATACGATGGGTTTCTTTTCCAAGGTAAAGTTTGTTTTCTATAATATAACAATAATTACAATATATGCATATGTTAATTTTCGTATATAGGAGAAATTCTCCTATGGAAATTATAATTTGGCATGTATTTGTGTCTTTCCCCATTTCCAGAAGAAGGGATACGGGAGGTTGTTGATCGAGCTGAGTTAGTACATGAGTTTCTTTTTCTCTTTTAAAGATCATAAACAGCGTCTAACAAAAATATGTTGATTTTAATAATAATTAGGTTACGAGCTCTCAAAGCGAGAGCGGAAGGTCGGGTCCCCAGAAGAGCCGGTTAGCCAGATGGCAAGGCATGCATACATGTCATACTGGCGAAAGGCTCTTCTGCGGACCTTTTGCCATGCGAGTGATAAGCAAATCTCCACTTTCAACGTCGATGAGTTGTCGCAGATGACAGCAATACAGGTCAACGATATTAATGCTGCATTGCGATATATGGGATTGTCAAAGTTATGTAAGAAGGGAACGAGGAATACGGTTGTGATTACAAAGGATATGATTATGAACTATGTGACGAAGACAGGGGAGAAGTGGGAGAGACCAGAGTTGAATGTTAGTTTATTGGTGTGGGAACCGAGGGATTGAGAGGTGGAATCGTAGTTGTTAGTAATTAATAGATAAAATATTTTAAATTTCACATGATTCGTCATTAATTTGATGATTGTATTTCTACAAAAATGTATTATTCATTGCGTAATAGTCTAAATAACTTGTCGCGCGCGCGTTTGACCTCAAAAGTGTTCTCAATACCCTCAAAAACTTGTCGTTTTCAACGCGTGCGTGGTGGTTATTCCTATACTAAACGCGAGAATTGCAACACACCTTCATCGAAAGAAAGGCAATTTACGTGTCAAAAAGAGACTGTTTTTCGCTCTTTTAGCTTATCAAGACTAAATTATCTTTTACAAGAATCTACTATCCCGAACCAATTAATTTCCCGGAATGACTCGACAATTTCCAGTTCGATAACTTACACTAGGCCTATTGTCGGCTACTGGTTACTTGGAACTGCAGCACTAGTATTTGGAATTGTCATATTGGGTGGCTTGACCAGGTTAACTGAAAGTGGGTTATCTATTGTAGAATGGAAGCCTATAACTGGCGTACTATTACCGATAACAGAGCAGCAATGGGAAGAAGAATTCGAGAGATACAAACAATTTCCGGAATACAAAAAGTAAGAAACTCAACACCAAAAATTGATCATGATCGATTGATTGAACTTAATTCGAAAATTTCTTATTCTGAATAAACAGACTCAACACTGAAATGTCATTGCATGATTTCAAATTTATTTATTTAATGGAGTGGGCACATCGTATGTGGGGACGCGCTATCGGCGTGTCTTTTATTTTACCAGCTGTTTATTTTGGTGCTCGAGGCTACATGACGAGATCAGCTTCGTATAAAGTAATTGGACTTGCTGGACTTCTCGGATTTCAAGTATAATGCTTTTGTTATAATACCGATATTGAAGTTAATAATAACAATAAGAGGTTGAGTTGTTTGATTGATCTAATTTCAAGGGCTTCTTAGGTTGGTATATGGTAAAATCGGGACTATCTGAAGAATTAATGGACAATCCAGGAGCGGTGCCACGTGTCAGTCATTATAGGCTGGTTGCACATCTGGGTAGTGCTTTTTTATTGTATATTGGGATGTTATTGACTGGACTACAGATCCTGCGAGATGCAAAGATTGCTAAAGGGACTTTTCCTGTGGTACGTAAGAAAAGCAATTTATACTTAATTCATGTTTAATAGAAAATGAATTAATTTGGGGGAGTGTGATTTCTTATTTTATAACAGTCAATTTCCAAAGCTCTGCTAAATCCAGCAATTAATGTGTTTCGTCGTTCTGCCATTGGTACTGCAACATTGATATTTCTAACTTCACTATCAGGTCAGTGAGCATATAATGCAATAATATTTCAAAAATAATTGATAGATAATTAATTGATTGAAACTTTAGGTGCCCTTGTTGCCGGACTGGATGCTGGCTTAATATACAACGAATTCCCTTACATGGGAAAAAATATAGTACCGCCACACAACGAACTATTTTCGAAAGTCTATACCCGCCCAGGTGATGTTTTTGCATGGAGAAATTTTTTCGATAATCCTACAACTGTACAGTTCGATCATCGTGTTATGGTTGGTAGAATTAAAGAATTTTTTATGACGTAATCCAAGATCCTCCTTCTAATTCCATCGTTTCTCTTCGTTATTAGGCAATGACTACATTAGGAGTAGTTATTGCTTTGTGGATTTATTCGCGTCGTGTACCAATCACAATGAATGCTCGTCGTGCTAGTAATATTCTACTAGGTGTTGCTGGGATGCAAGCCACATTGGGTATTAGCACTTTAATATATATGGTCCCGATTCCTTTGGCTTCTGCACATCAGGCGGGTAGTTTGACCTTGTTAACTAGTGCATTGTGGTTGGTACATCTAATGCGAAGAATTCCACCATTGATTGTAAAATCGAGCGTTTTGAAAAAGTTATGATATTAAAAAAATTGGTTCTAAAAATTTGCATTTGTTTTTCATATTCTCGTTATTTTTTAAAACTATTTGTGCCTCTGTTAGTTCTCTGCAATTAATTACGTCTCTGTTTGAAACTGAATAGTATATGGAAGTCTATTACTCTGAATATTAGTTTCTTTTATACCGCATCGGATCCGAGATAAAAAGTAATAGAAAGCATAGCTTGCACGGAAGTTCTTTTTTTCGTTAATGCGTTTCTGCTATTTGCAAATTTACTTCAAGGTGGTTTCTACATCTCATTTGGAATTATATATTGACAATTAAGCGCGTCCAGTATAGAATTCTAGAATTCGAAATCAAGTTTACAATTTTTGGTTATCGTTTCCGTTATTGTTATCGTTATTGTTCCATTATTCTCGAAATGAAAAACGTAACGTAGAATAGTATATAGATCAGATTTGCCGTATCGATATCACCAGCGAAACTATATGCATAATGCAAACATCAACGAATCGGATCCTGCGCAGCATTAAAATTTCATATGAAATGCCGATACTTTTCTCCGAGTGCTCTTTTACTCTTACGTTTACCAAATGACACAACCATTAGAAGTAACAGAGTATGACGTTATCGTACTAGGAACGGGCTTTACAGAGTCACTACTTGCCGGGTATGCGTTCTTGTAGACCAATAACATGTTTTTCTTTTTCTTAACTCCTCTTGGCCACCTTAAAAACTCCATAGTCAAACAGGGCGTTGGCGCGTACTGGCAAGTCTGTCTTGCATTTGGACGCCAACAGCCACTATGGTGGAGGTTGGAGTGCACTCAATTTCCGAGACCTTTTTGACTGGATACAGAATACGCAAGGTTTGCTGCCAAATGCGTCTTGATTTATTTATTTATTGTATATTTATTTTATTTATTACATATTGTTGTATTTATTAGGTCCTGTCGCTGATACATTTGGGAGTAATCAAGAAAGTAAATAGCTAATATATAAAACAAATCCCAAATACATTTAATACATGGTATATATTGTAACATTGAACAGGTATTGAAGGGAGGCAAGCATTAGCAATAAATGTATCTCAAGCTCTTAAACAGGTCTATCCAACGATTGAGTACGAAATCTTTCCTCTGAATCAAGAAAAAGATCAAAGTGCTTTAATAAATCCAACGGAAGAAAGTATTCAAGATGAAGATCAGAATACCCCGTCAGATTTCAATGCTCTAGCAAAATATTTACTCTCGTCCGACGAATATGATCATAATGAATCGATTGGCAAACTAATCAGCGAGCAATTCAGATCCAAATTGTTAATCAGAACTCGAGAAAACGAGGATGCAATCGCGATGGAATCAGCTCGACTTGTCCAATTACTTCAAATACACAAAGGAAGCAACAATATAACGGAGGACGCCATTCGACACGTGTCCACCTGTCTATCGAATTTAGAGCAAATTGAAACGCTCGCGGTTCTTTTGGGAGAATCAAAGCGTTATAATTTGGAATTGGCACCGAAATTAATGCCTTGTCGTGGTGAACTTGTCGAGTTGTTGATTAGTTCGGGTGTTGGTAAATATTTGGACTTTAAGGCGGTTGAACAAACTTTTATTTATTTAGGAGCAGATGAATTTGAAAAGGTATGTAGACAATTAAAGATTATATATATGATTTCGCGAAAAGAATTGTTGAGAGATGAATTTTTTTTGGTGAATAGGTTCCGTGCTCTAAAGAAGACGTTTTTACTAGTCAAACGGTGTCTTTGGTTGATAAGCGTAAATTGATGAAATTTTTAACGTTTGCTTTAGATTATACAAACTCACCTGAAACTTATGCGGGTATTTTATTTATTTATTATATTACATTTTCTGTTTAAAAATTATCTCCCTTTTGTTAACCATCTTCCTTTCATCAATTAATATAATTAATTAGGTTACGAGGATAAATCATTCAAGGACTTCCTTAAAGAAAAGTTTCGGATCGAGGGAAAATTACTTGCAGTAATATTATATGCGATAGCACTGATAAATTCACCGGGCGAAGATGGTTCGAATGATGACCTTTTTCAGTAATTATTTTGCGTGCGTCATCATCATGTATATATTTATTTGCCCAAATTAATTGATGAGAAATTTTTGCCTTCAAAAAAATCAAATTTAAAAACCAAAACAAACACACAAATAGTGTATACCATGCAAGGTCTCAAAAAGACACAAGAATATCTTCGGTCGTTGGGTCGCTATGGAAATAATGCATTCTTGGTTGCTCTGTATGGAGGTGGTAGTGAAATTGCGCAAGGATTTTGTCGGTGAGTTTTTTGTAAATATTTTTAATTAATTTGATCGTTTAAATTATTAAATTTGTGTTTGTAGTGTATGCGCGGTGTACGGCGGAATATATATGCTATCACATTCCACAAATCACTTACTAATCGAAGAAAATTCAAACAAGTTTATTGGACTGATGGACGCAAACGAGCAACAGCTTTCGTCTACGTATCTAGTATCTTCTATCGATTACTTACCTAGTCATTACCTGGAAAGAGAAGAATTGTGGTAAGTCATTTTTGTCATCCTTATTTTCAATTTTTCTGCTCCAGAGAAATTTGACATTTTTTTCGTTAAACAATCGAATAAAGGGAAAAAACATCACGTGCAATAATCATAATTGATCAACCCATTCACAAAGATAGTGATGCCACGATAACTATATACCCGCCAGGGACCGTTAACAATCCATATTCGATTTATGTTATTCAATTGACACATGACACACAGACATGTCCCGAGGATCGTAGTACGTATTGTCGTTACTTCTAATTTGTAACTTGGATAATTTATTTTTCATTTTTATTCTTTAGGTGTTTTATACATGTTTACAAAATCAAGTGAAAAAAAGAGTCCTAAAGAGGATTTATATAAAGCTTTTGAAACATTAGCTAATATTTCAAGAAAGCCTCAAATTGGTAATTTATATAATATATAAATTTGTATTCGATAATATACTGCTTTAAATTTGCTTATCAAATACTTATTTTGTGCTATTAGAGAGAGAGGGAGAGGATAGGGAGAAAGAGAGATCTTCGATATCATCAACCAAACCAAATCCATTATTCGCACTCTTTTACCATTCGTTTGCACGATCTATAAACCAATCAATAATTCCCGGAAACATCATTACCGCCGATGACCCTGATTCGAATCTCACTTTCGAATCGGCCACCAAACAAGCTCGACTACTGTTTGAGAAAATGTATCCGGGCGAGGAGTTCTTACCTCCTGGTCCTGAACTTGATGATGAAGGTGAAGATTTCGAGGTTAATTGATTGTAAAGGTTTTTTTCGGTTTGTTAGTTTTTTATTGGGATAAGCTATATTAGTTATTTTCTTTGAGATTTTTTGTTTTGCATTACTTTAAATAAATAAATCGTGATTTTGTATGCTCTATTCAATGATATCTTAATTATTTGTAACGTATGTGTCGTTTTAATTGATCAGGTGATATTTTAGAAGTGGCAATCAATCTACTATATTCAAATAATTCGTAAGTTGGGATGGAAAATTTGTTCTAATTAAATGTAAACAACCTACGATGCAATTTTAAATAGTTTAGTTATCTACTCTAAAATTTTATGGTAATTAAATCGGAAATTTACACGCTATCTTTGGGAGGTAAACAATGGCAGTCAGAGAAATCTCTAGCAGTAGACTAGTAATAATGATGATACCGGGAAAAAAGGAAACCTCTTCTCCACACCAGATTTTAGTATCGTCATCTCTTCTTAAATCCGTATTTTTTCCGCTCATAGAACAGATCTGTTTTAGAAGACCCAAGATTCACTATTTTCGGACAGCCATCTCTCTAAATCAAGCTCAAATATATCAATTTAAAATATGACAAATTGAACTCGCAAATCATCCAAAAAACACGCATACATACATCTTTCTCTTGTAATACGCATTCTTTACAATAATAAGCATCAGATACTCCCGGTGCACCACATATTACGCATCGTCCTTGGTATGATCCGTAGTTGCATTCATCGCATATTCTGGATGATTTAGTTATTATGTTCAATTGAATGTTTAGTTCGTTATTTTTGTTTATAAATTTGAATTATCCCCTCTCTCACCTTACTAGTGTATCTGGTCGAACATATCTAAAAATCAAAAATAATATCCGGATATTAAAAATTCCTGCAAACTGACAATATCTGATACTCACGAATCACAAATCACACATTTGCCATCACACTTTTCGCACAATCGTCCAATTGCTTAGAAAAGCAAGCAAAATGTCAATTTATCTTTTCAAATTCAAAAAAATGCCATGCATGATCTTGGTTTGGTTCAACAAGAATTGAACCATGCAAGTATTTTTTTTTACCTATTCCTGGTTGTTTCCTACACATTATGAGATCAGGATGATGTTTAGCCATCGTAATTTATATTACTGCCTTTATTATTACAAAATATATCGATATTAACTAACGTTAACGAAACTAATAGATCGAGTAAGCAATTCATACAATTTTTCCAAAAAGCGTGACTGTCGATCTATCTATCACAAGGAAAAATCTGCAGCAGAAAAAAATACAAATATCATAAATTTAAAAAGGTTCTTTCTTTTTCTTGACTCATTATCTCTGGCAATGGCTTCCAAAAAAGGTTCGTGTATGGTAGACGTTGAATTAACATTTGATGATAAAACAAACGATATAATTAAAAGATGCCGAAAAAATCATATATTATAATCTATAGCAAAGAAGACCGCCACCACCGCTAGTAGTAGCAATGACCCACCAAAAGAAATTCCAACAAAAAAAAAAGAAAAATCTAAAGCCTCAGCTGCAAAAAAAGCCGCACTAAAAGGTACAGACGGCAAGGTAAAAAAGAAGGTCCGAACCTCCACCACGTTCCGACGTCCAAAAACACGCCGACTCGCTCGTGAACCAAGATACCCACGAAAGTCAGTTCCACATGCCCCACGACTTGATCAATATAAAATCATTAGACAGCCACTAAACACCGAATCTGCAATGAAAAAAATCGAAGAGAATAATACCCTGGTGTTTATTGTGGACGTTAAGTCTAATAAACGTCAGATTAAAGACGCGGTGAAAAAGTTGTATGATGTTGACGCGCTAAAGATTAATACTTTGATAAGGTATTTGTCTATTTTTAATCTTTTCTTCTTATTATTATTATCGTTATTATTATTATTATTGTTGTTGTGGTTGACTTTTTTTTTTATTAGACCTGATGGAACTAAAAAGGCCTATGTTCGACTCACCACTGATGTAGATGCCTTGGATATCGCTAACAAGGTTTATTTTCTATTATTTTTATTATAATTTATCATATTATTTTCTCACATTTTTATTAATTATTTTATTGCAGATTGGATTCATTTAAATATCCATCCATATGTAATTTAGAATTATTCGGTGAGACTGTGTTTTTCGAAAGAATTCATTATTTGTATTTAATGAACCGTTTCGATTTTGAATAAACACGATCATTTATAAATATAATGAAAATAAAAATATACATATATTTAATAAAATATAAATCGATAAGTTAACATTAATTAATTAAAACAAATTATTTAAAAAGATTAAAATCCACGAAAGAAAGCCTATCAAAAATATTATACAAAAAAGCTAAACAATTTGCACGCAAACTTCCAAAATATTAAAAGACTTTGTAAATATCAAACCAAACTCATTTTCCGTTCTCACGCTAACTTCCACTTCTTTAGCGTCCACTTTCTTTACGCCGGATCTTTGTTTTACCAAATTTTCAAATCTCTCAAGTGTATCTTTTTGTAGCAAAAATCGAAGATCTGGAAGTGTATCTTCATCTTGAATTAACGAAGATGAAGATGAAGATCCAAAACTACTAAGTGAACGATACGAACTGCTACTATGACTTGATGAATTTGGCAAATGAATCCATTCGTGAAGACCTGATAAATAAGTGAGATTACTGGCGATAGTTTGTGGTGTTACATCATGTGGTGTTAAATAGAATGCTACTTGTTGGTGACCGCGTTTAGCATGATGTCTCAGACAAGGTAGAATTATATCTTGAATCATTGCATCAAGTCTTTTGAGGCATAATAATTTAATTACTGAATTAATAAACTATGTTACGAATATAGTTAACGAATTAAAAACAATTCACCTTTTCCGTGCAACTATTTCCACCGTGTCTTTTAAAGAATGTGTCTTTTCGTCTTTAACAGGAGGCGAGATTACACTAACAACAGATTCGTATGAAGGTAGATCGTCTCCGTTCCGGCCATTAGTACTATACGTAACGCCCTCTTCACTCAAACTCTCATAAGGTATTCCAAATTCTTGCAACTGCAACTCTACAACTTCTCTTGCCACATTCCTCGGGACCATTAACCGTTTATAACGCAAGTAGTCTAATATTACACCGAATGCCAATGGGTTATGATCTAAAAATATTTCCGGTTTTGGTGGAAGAAGCGAGGGAAAGCTTGGGTCATTGTATATGCCAACAATGTTGAGGTCATTAGAAGCATAAATGCTGGAAGTTTGTTGTGATATTATTTGAGCGAGGCGACTGTTTGGGTACTGTTTTATGAGGTCTATGTTTATTTCGAAACGTGTACCTCCTACATTGAATACTGCTGTATTTTTAGCCATTTTGATTAGTTTAGTTAACGTTAATAGTCGAAATCAGAGAATTGGTAGAGGTGGGTTTTATCTGTCTATTTGACGATATGCTATTCCGTATTTGACAATGACGATGAATGACAGTTATTACAGATTTGTCAATATAATGGTTATTACATGTATACCACACGTGAAGGATTTCCATAAATTATTCGCGTTTTCTTGTGGAAAATACAATATTCGCGTTTGCCTTCTTCGAATGACTTCTCTAACGGGTTCTAACAACTTTTCAGATGACGGACGTGCAGTAATAGAAAGAGCACTAAACGTGAAAAGCCAGAAACTGGCAAACTCAATTGAAGAGTTGCAACAAGTGTACGAAACTGGAAGAACCATTTCATTCCTTCTCGAAGGTGGATATAAAAAGGTTTATTCTCTGAACAAATATACATATTTTTATTAGTTTGTGCTTTGTTTTGATTGTCATTTTTTGATTAATCACCTTTAGGTTGCTCTTCAATTTCCTGACGAATTACTGGCAGACTCTACGCAAATTTCTTCCATTCTAAAAGATAAAACAGGCAGCAAGTTTTTTGTTCTTGCTGATACATCTTATGGCAGGTAGTCAGTTATTTCATTAATTCATTAAGAATTACAGGGATACTCTCAAAAACTACTTGCTCACCTTTTTTATTGTTTCTTTTGTGAAGTTGTTGTGTTGATGAAATAGCAGCTCAACACGTTGATGCTGATTGCATAATACATTATGGCCGATCATGTCTTAGCCTGTAAATAATTTATTCATTGCATTATTTTACGCGTCTTTATTAATACTAAAACATTTATGATGGTTATATAATCAATTAGTACTTCCCGACTACCCGTTTTATACATATTTGGAAAGCATCCGATAGATGAAGCTCATTGTCTGGATACTTTTCAAGAATTCTATGAGGAAAGCAAAAATTTGCCGATAATTGTTTCTTTCGATGTTGTATATGCTCATTGTATTGGTATGTGCTTGCATTTATTCTTTTGTTATATTATTTACTGCTGCGTTTATGATTATGTGCCATTTATTTAAACGACAGAAAATTTTGTGAGCCAATTACACAGAAGAGGATATAACTCAATCATTCAGACTTTTGTAAAGACTGAAACTAAACATGAAGTGACGACAATAGAAGGTGATTAATTATCCGCTGATAACATAGCTGTCATGGGAAATTTATTTTTTTTAAAAAACGAAAATTTATGGCTAATATAAATGTAATTCGTAGAATCGGATTCTTCTAAACAGCAAAAGGGCCGATATTACAATTTACCGGAAGGCACAAATATCGAGGATTGCTCGATTTTTTATATCGGTGGAGAAAGTCTTACGCTGGCTAATTTACTTATGACTCATAATAAATGCAAGGTAGATTTTTAAAGGTTATAGTAAATATTAATAAAGTACACTCTTTTATATATATATATACATACACAATATCAAAAAGGTATACACTTACAACCCGCAGACTCGAGAAGGACGACAAGAGACTCTACAAGTGAACCGCGCTCTAATGAAACGGTATTTCCTAAACTCTTATTGCGATTTAGTTTGTTCATTATTGAAACATTAAACCATTCTTTTTTGATTAGATATTATATGGTTCAAAAAGCAAAAGATGCGGATGTAATTGGCATAGTAGTTGGGACATTAGGAGTTGGTATTAATTATTTTATTTTCTTCGTTTTGGAAGAGAAACAAAGTCTAGCACAGATATTATCTAGGTTTTCTCATCTTTATTTTCAATCCAACTATTGGGTTCTCTCCTAAATAGCCTCATATCTGACAATCATATCACACTTGAAAAAACTTATTACCAGAGCGGGGAAAAAAGCGTATACTTTTGTAATGGGTAAACTCAATGTTGCGAAAATGGCAAATTTCATGGAAATCGATTGTTATGTACTGGTCGCATGTCCTGAGAATAGCTTGATTGATTCAAAGGTGAGTGCGATAAAGAGAATAAAATATTTTGATTGTAGTTTTTTTGATCGATATTTTTATTATGAAAAAACTGATTTTTATATAATTGAAGGAATTTTATCGACCGATAGTGACTCCGTTTGAATTAGAAATAGCGCTCGACAGGTAAGAATAAGTTATATTTTTCCCCGATCATATTATTAATATTCTTTGTCTCCTTTAATAGTTCTAAACCTTGGACTGGCGAATACGTAACAGATTTTCAGCAATTATTACTAGGTATGTTTTTGTCTTTGGTTAGCTTTAAACAACATACTACTAATCAATCGATTTTGTTGTTCAGGTATTACAAAAGATAAATCGGAAGAGAATTCAGAGGTAGAGATAATAAACTAAGACGTTAATTGTTTATTAGTTCAACATGCTAATTTGTATTTTATTAATCTCAGTCTATAAGACTTGGCAAGGAAGAAGATCAGAGTAATGATGACGATGTTCCCCACTATTCATTAGTCACCGGACAACTTAAAAAAGGTCGGAAATACGCCATTGATCAAAAGAATGGTGGTGATGAAGGTAAGCAACCACTCCTAAATACTTTAATATCATCCAAACAAATTGATCTCAACCAACCTTCTTTAGCCATAGACTCGACTACTTCAGACACAGACATTATCTTACGTGATAAAAACACGCAATTAACATCCACCGCCACTGTGTTGAAAAACAGTGCTGCCGCCGAATTTTTAAATTTGAGAAGCTTTCGAGGTCTCGAAAAGCAAATTGGTGGAACCGTAGTTTCTGAGGCGGAAGAAGGGCGGTCCGGGATCGCTAGAGGATATTCGGATGAAAAATAACAAATTTGAAATTATTTTGTATTTATTAGATAGACACTTATTTATTAATTTATAATCTTTTTATTTTATTTAATACTCGAGTTGGTCAAGTTAAATACGCCGTACAAGCGCTCTCGTAAAACTTTGATGATTTATATATATTTTTTTAATTAATTTTCTATCATTACGTGCGCCAAGTATAATAAGTCAAAGAGAATTACGATTATTAAAAATAAAAACAGCCCTCATCCCCCGCCCACTTATCTCTTCAACAATAATAAAATAGTATAAGATATATTCTCAACTTGGAACGAACTAGTTTAATCGTGTAAGAGTATTTAAACTTAAAAAAGGTAGTGTGGCAGTGTGGTAATGGTAATAGTAATAGTGTAGTGTGTGTATGTGGACTTTAATATTAATTTTATATATATGATCCAACCGCGCACCATATCCAGCGAAACCGAAAGAACACCCCCGAATGGAATCGAATTGTGCGGTGGTAGTAGTATTATTATTGTAGAATGATTAAATAATCATTATGAAAACAAAAAAAAAACAAAGAAATAAAAAAATGAGAACGACGAAATTTGTGTATAATCAATAATAAATATGAATAGCACAAAAAACAACAAAAACTTTAGTTTATCGCACACCGATGGTGATACTAGTATTATTATGTGTATGTGTGTATGAATGGCCCGATTTTATATTTAAAAAAAAAGAAAAATAATTACTTTATATAATATTAATATTAATATTAATAATAATAATAGTTTTTTATATGTTCCCCCCTTTTTTACTTAGGTTCTTCGGTTTCAGCTTCTACTTTAGGCTCTTCGGTCTTTTCGCCTTCTAGTTTGTGGTCAATTTTTAGTAAATTAAATATGAGTAAACTTATTGATAAATGAAGAATTATTTAGGGAACAAAAATTTTACCATCTTGCAAATCGGAAGTCCAGAGGGTCAAATTATCTCTCAGCAATTGCATAATCAAAGTGCTATCTTTGTACGATTCTTCACTTAAAGTATCAAGTTCCGCAATAGCGTCATCAAATGCTTGTTTGGCAAGATGACATGCACGATCGGGAGAATTGAGGATTTCATAGTAAAAGACGGAGAAATTCAGAGCAAGACCAAGTCGGATTGGGTGAGTTGGGGCAAGATCTGTTTGAGCAATATCGGTGGCATGCTTGTAAGCTTCATGAGCTTGAGTGGCAGCTTCTTTTCGTCTCTCCCCAGAAGCAAATTCAGCAAGATACCGATGGTAATCTCCTTTCCTATTAATTTAGTATTCAGTTTGTGTATTTGTAAAAATCATCGAAATTGCGTGCGTGTTAATAAAATGTTAGCGTGTAATAAAATCACCAAAAATTTGAGAAATTAAAAATTGTCGATTTTGAAAGCCACTGCGTACTCTGTGACAATTCAAAATTGATCCGGATCGTATCAGTTTAAGCGCGCTAATGTAAATATTAATTGCAAATAGGCAAATCAAGCAGTGTTGATTGATATTCTTTCACGAGTGAGAATGATTTGTAACGGAAAAAATCACTGAAAATCGTGTGATAACAATACCGCGCGTAAAATGAAAATTTACAGATTGGGGGAGGGGGAAGGTAGTATTAGCACTGGAGTGCCGAAAAGTCACTCACATCTTATAATAAAACACTTTGGATTCGCCTGCTTCAGCAGAAGGAATCAGATGCTCATCCAAGACTGCGAGGATATCAGAGCAGACTTCAGACAGTTCAGCCTCAACCTTTTGGCGGTAAGCCTTAATCTTCGTGACTTGAGTTTCATTTCCTTTATTTTCTTCTTTTTGTTCAATCGATGAAATGATCCTCCAAGAGGCACGGCGGGCACCGATTACATTTTTGTAGGCGACAGAAAGCAGATTACGTTCTTCTACGGTAAGCTCAACTCCGAGCTATTGTGGAGTGAAAACCGACGTCGCATGGTTATTTTTATATTCGGGACGGAAAGTTTAATTCAATAATTCTCAATCGAAAAGAGTCTATATATCCTACCTTGGCAACATCCTAACCATAAAAAAAAGTGATTAGTTAATCAAAAAAATATATGATCAAAAAATTTCATTAAAAGTTTTCCTTTACATACTTTCATATAGGAAACCATTTCTAGTCATCCCAGAAAGTATTACGTGTATAGAAAGCAAGTGAAGATGGAAATAATAATCATATTAATAATTAGAGGAATTGACGACCATCAACAACAATGATAATAATTCAAAAAACTCACCATCATAACGTTCAGCTTGCTCAGCGAGCTTAGCCATATAAACCTGTTTGGACATCAAAACAAGGAAAAAATCAAATAAATTTGGTCAACCTTTTCATCGACTAGTAATTGATATATCACAGATAAAAATATATCGTGTTTTAACTGTCACTACTTGATAAAAATACCTGGTCTTCGCGTTCCTAATAAAACAAAAGTAATGGAAAATGTATTCAAAGAAGTCGGTTAGTTTCAATAGTATTAGAGAGAGAGAGACAGGGTTGAAGGTTCAAAAAGGAATTGATAATGAAACATAGACAGCGGGCGTTGCCACCCTCTAGAGGGCAAAAAGCTCAACCCTTTATTCTTGTATTGATAATCGAAGTGCTTGTTTCGATCAAAGGTGACCTTTCTATCTTATTTTTCCTTCGAATTCTCAAAAAAGACTGCGGTCTCAACAAAGCTCATTATTACTTACGTTAGTAGCAGTAGCCATTGTGATGTTTTTATTTATGAGTGTATAATTAGCGTGTGAGCGTGTTGGGATGGCAGATAGAGTTGTTCTGTTTCTTTGAAGGTAGGTTGTTGGCGATGCAAATGTGACAAGTCGGAGCAATTACGATAAAACTGTTCGAGCTGTGAAAAAAATGCGTGAAGATGAGCAGGTTGATTTCGGGTGTCCAGTGGTATTTCGGCATAGATAATGTGTGGGGGTCACTTGTACTCCATTCATCTGATTGGTGCACACTCTTGTTACACTTTCTGCATCCAGAAATGGTATAACTGCAAGAATTGACCCTTTTTGTCATATGTGATAAAGTAGTGGGGGGTTGTGTGTATCGAGCTGTGCCGCCAGATCTAGTTGAACGACAATACGCATATTATTATTATTTTTATTTACCCTAAACCTAAAGTGTGCAACAACCCGAGATAATCCCTACTTTCATATTGGCCAAAATAATAATGAAATGTGTCACTTGATCATAATGTTCTTTTATATTAAGATTATTCCAGAAGAAAAGAAACCAATCAGGTTCTCGATCTTTTCGAACCAAAAAAAGTAACGCTGATTTGCTCTTTTTTCATACTAATGATACCATAACGATAATAATTTTTATTTCTATGACTCTGTTAGGAAATTTAAAAAATGTAATTTGAAATCGCACGTGATGTCAAAATAATTTAAAATATATAATTACTACACGCATGATTGCTCGGGTTTTAAACCTATGAAAAAATGATTACATGAGATTAAAAAAAAAGAACAGGTTCATTATACACGCATATAATTTTTATTAGATACTTACGACTGTACCTGAAGATGATGCAATACGAGGCCAAAGATCCGCACATTCTTTACCAACAGGTCCTGTAATGGCAGAACCCTTCATTTCTCCTTTGGGATTGACAATAACACCAGCATTATCTAATAGAAATAATTACATCAATATATATATATATATATATATATATACTCTTGATAGGTTAAATGTTAAAATATTCAAAATTAAAGTCACTGGACCTTCGAAATAAAGGAAAACGCCATCTCTTCTACGCCAAGGTTTTCTTTGGCGAATTACAACTGCTGGCATAACTAAATAATAAAAAAATAATATTATGGCATCAAAAAACCTGAACACTAAAATATAATAATTTTTTCAAGTTCCTAATTGAACTAATTAATTAGATACCTTTTTTTCTTAATTCGGGCTTGCCTTTTTTGACAGTGGCCATCACCATGTCACCGACACCAGCCGCGGGTAATCTGTTCAAACGGCCATGTATACCTTTGACCGAAATGACATATAAATTTTTTGCACCAGAATTATCGGCACAATTCATCACAGCACCAACTGGAAGACCCAAGGTCATACGGAATTTGTTACCCGAAGCTTATCAAAAAATTTAACTGTTTGTTAATAAGATTATTCCATAATGTTGGGTCAAAAACATTGAACAAATGAAAATTCAATATTTACCACCACCGCGTCCTATTGATAATTAGACATAGTTTGATTAATCAATATTCAAAAATCTTGGTTAGTTGATAAATAAAAAGTTCCTAGATCCCTCGATAAAAATTATTATTGAAATAACCAAAATAGAATTCAACGTAGTTCATGAATAAAGCCGTATTAAATCTTGACAAGCGACAAGTATTTCTTTTTTTGGGCTTTCACAATACAGCCTTAAATCGAAAATATATACCTCGTTTAGACATTTTGGTTTTATTATTTTTATTATTACAACAGGTGTATTAGAAGAATCAAACAAAAATTTTTTTATATGCACGATAGGTAAACCTGTTGACAGATTCTACTTCAACATCAAATTAGGCCAATCAAACGCGTTAGGTCAAATTCACGTGTAGTGTTTCACAAACTATTTAGACCTTCTAGCAAGGAATTGATAAGGATTTCTTCAAGACGCGCTTTACTTTGATTTTGTATTTTTTTCCGTATTTTTTGTTAGTTCTTTCTGTAACTGGAATTCTAAAGAGAAAGAGTGTCTGCCTCTCAATATACTAACGTGGAAGTCAGTGATTTGACTGGCACCTCACGTTGCATTCTTAACAAGACATTCGCTAATCTTCAAATATACTCTTATGGCAATAGTTAAGCTTACGTATTAATTAATGTACCCACGATTCTTCAAATTTTTTTCTCGCTCTTTCGCTTAATTCTTCGCTTTTCATTCTTTAGAGGAGGATAGTGTCTTTATTTCGTTGGCGCTCCTTAGGCTTAGTCCCAAGAGAATATCACCTAATACTTTACATTCTTAGGGCGCTAAGCTTCGTTCCTTCCTGCTATGGTCTGTATTCACTTATTAAACTATACAATAATGTCAATACGCGTGATACAGGTGATATAATGGCGTGGAAAAGCACAAAATTGGATTTTGGGTTGGGTTGCATGTGGGTAAGCGATATTCTTCAACTAAAATCTAATATGCATTTTTTCTTATTAACATTAATTGATCGATCTAATTTAATTAAGAATTAAGAAAAATACTACTGCTTATGTAATATGGATAGATCAAGAAACATAGAGAACGAAATAAAATAAATTTTTGGTCTCATTTTCAATTTTATTTTACCGATTTGAATATTTATTATCCAATATAACTCTAGTGTGCTCTTTCTGGTCTGTGGAGCTATTGGCTAGCAGACGGTCTGATGCGCCGATGGTTATTTCATTATGAAATTAGGAATACAATTATACGATTGATCTCACTACAAGCGATAAATTGGGTCGTGACAGCACTAGTAGCATCTCATTTAGGATCTGATGAGCCATTACGGACATGGATTATCGTAGTGCTAGTATTCACCATCGCGAATCCTATACAATGGTTATTCACTTCACCGGCAAAATATCAAAAGAAAGTCGTCGATCTAGAAACCAACAAAGCATTAGCATGGAAAGACATTGGACGTTATATCATAGTACCTCTCACGATTGTCACTTTTATCACAATGGTATGCCTACTAGAACAACAGACCGCATTCCATTGCACACCTCACTCTGGCCACTACAAATTGAATGCTAATTTAACCCTCGGCGACACAGATGCCTATGTTAAAGTGATTATGGTGATCTTGTCATCATGGACAGAAAGCAGCTATGAGAAACGTCAGGCGTTTCGTAATAGTACGTTACGACTATTGCCACAGAATTCAAATCGGATCTCTATCGTGTATCGATTTGTTCTTGGAGATGCACCATCGGCGAAAACGCGGATGGAATTAGGTCATAAAATTCATGTAGAGTCTCAAGAATTTAACGATATTTTAATGGTACCCGCTTTAGATACTTTTCGTCAACTTAGTCGTAAAGTTTATAAAACTTTTCAATGGACAAGTAAATTTACTTTTGATTATTTGATTAAAACTGATGACGATGTGTTTATTCGGCTGGATACTGTTGCAACCGAATTGGAAGAAATGGGTCCTGGTAAAAGATATTATTGGAAAGGACTCGCTTATTGGTTAGTTACCATATATTTACATAATTCAATTTAGATATTCAATCGAATCTAATAGAAAAATTATTTAATTGTAAAAAGGAATATTCCATCAAATAGTGAAACAGAACAAAAATATTCCGACGAAGAATTCGATCTTCCCATTTTCCCTCCGTTCACCGCTGGAACACTTTACATCCTTTCACGAGACATAGTTTCACTTATAGTGACCGACGCACCGCGTCTATTCACACAGAATGAATATCAATCATTGGGCATATGGTTATTCTCATACAACATCAAACCAATTCACGATCGCAGAATACAACAGGCTGACGTCTGTGAAGATGACATGATTGCCAAACCATTCAACGATCGCTACTCATCCTCCAAAACGATGGAAGATATGTATGAGAATATTCGCAATAATCGACGATTATGTGACGGATTTCCACAAATTAATTGTGCAGTTTGTTATCTCTGTGAAGGTAGAACAGTAGATTGGCGCTCCTGGAATTTCAATTGTGATTTGGAAAAAGGAATCACTTTGAAAATCGCGAATACTGGTTTCAGTTTTACTAATCCTGTTAGTGGGATAGATCAAAAAATGATGGATCAGAGCACATAAGAAACATTCACATTTAATATTACTCGTAAAAAATTTTTCTTTAAATATTATATTGTAACATATGACTTCAGCCATTATCATCGTTATATTAGAAAATTTGTATTTTTATTACTTTATTCTAAAAATATCCGAAATGGGTAAAAAAAAAATTGATGTTCATATAAATACGAAATTACTTATATTTTATTATCCAAAATTTAGTTTGAAATGGCCAGTCTACCAAGGAGAACAAAAGTACTCATACTAAACTACAAAACTCCTTGAGAAATGTGCCTTCTATTAAGTTTCCTCATTAATTTGTAAATTTATTTAACAAAAAAATAAAAAGGGCATAACAATCGTCAGGCCAATAATTTATGGTAATGTCGCAACACCCTTACCACCCAAAAAAAGTGCCGAGACGGATCATACTCATAAATGGACGGTATCAGTTAAAGGTGTTAATGGAGAAGATATAAGCTATTTCATAAAGAAGGTTGTTTTCAAACTACACGAGACCTATCAAAACCCACTAAGAAGTAAGTAATGAATGGAAAGCAGCTTTTGCGTTTTTACACCATTAATCCGATATCAATTTTTTAGCCATAGAAAATCCTCCTTTTGAAATTTCAGAAACTGGGTGGGGCGAATTCGAGCTCACCATGAAACTCCACTTTGTACCAGAGAGTGGCGAGAAACCAGTCACATTGTATCATAATTTACGATTACACCCTTATGAAGATGATGGATCGATTTTGACTTCTAATAAGGGTAAACCCGTCTCAAGCTTTCAATATGATGAACTTGTGAGCATTCTTTAATTTAATTTTCATAGATGTGTTGTTTGCTCAACTTGTTGCTAATAATGCCAAATGCCAAACGTTAGGTATTTACCGATCCAACAGAGACAATGTATCAAATACTTTTATCCAACCAGACTTCAAATCTTCCGACTCGGAGCACTGCAAGTCAACCTTATAGTTAGTGTTGTTCACGTTATACCGTTCCCTAATAGAAGATCTCTTTTTACCTAATATAATCTTTGATTTCCTTTTCTTGAAGGTATCCAAGCAGAACAAGAAGAAGTAAAAGCAATTGAGACTGCTTATCGTCAAGTACAAGAGAATATTACAAAGTATAAGCAGCGAATGGATAATGCCACCAAAGAAATGAATCAGGTCAAAACAGAATTAGACAATCTTATGAAGCAGTAATATGCACGATTGTAATTGGATATGATGACTTGTGATAGGAGGTTAGTATAACATTGTTCGTCAATACATTTTTTATTAACAGGTGATATATAATGACAACAAAGCGGAAGGTAAGTCATTTTCTTTAGAAACTTTTTGATATTTGAATTGTGAGATGCACTGTATTTGTATGGCTATCTTAGTGTACTATAATAGTCTTGTTATCAGTATGTGTATCAACTCGAATTGATCAAATCAACTTGTTAGTGAAAAATGAGTTAACTTTTTAATTTATAAATATACAGACGAAAATTTTGTTTGAGGATAAATGTGGCTATTAAATTGATTTCTATTGCTGGAACTTGCAAGAAGATCCAAAACTGACAACTATTTAAGTATTCATGAAGCTAATTCACAAATGCCTTTGTAAAGATGATTGTCCAAAAATCCAACTGGGATTTAGACTGTTCGATTTGAAAATCAGGCCGATTTACATTTGGGGCACAACATTTATATTATTTAATAAACAATTGCTGGTGGTTTTGTAAAATTAGTAATTTATTTGAAATGAAATTAGTGATCTTGATCAGCATTTTAAAGAACATGCTCCAGATCAAGTATTCATATTATAATTAGAAATTTTTTTAAAATTTCTATCACTTTATCAATAAGAATATTCAAATTATTTAAGATTTATTATATATTTTCATTTATTTATTATTTAATTTCTAGAAAAACATTATAAAACAAAAATTCTTATTTTAATAATTCTCTTCTCATATTATTTTGAAAAACACATATATTAATAAAAAAATTATAATTTTAAATAATTAATCAAAATGATAATAAAGATTTATTAAGATGTTGTTTATATAATTATATATTTTTAATGAATTTTATAATACTAATATATATTAAGAGAGATATAAATATATTATAATAGTTATTTTATATACAATTATATTTTTTTAATATATACTGATACTATAAAATTCACTTAAAAGTATATATAGTAATAATAAAAAGAATGGAACGCTAAAACAAATTTATTAATAAAACATAGTAAAAATACAAAAAATGTGAGTTTTTCTCTTTATATAAAAGTTTTCAATTTTATTAATAAATATTTTTTATTTTTATATTAAAATAAAGATAATAT